GAGGGAATGGTTCCCTCTGTAAAAATGGAATTTTACTGTGGAAGTTCACAATTAAAACAAAAGCAGAACTGTTTTGGATATGGGAAGGAAGGTGGGTTGCAACTCTTCCCTCTCACCAACAGGGTCACCTCAACAGGAACGTCAAGGTCCCACAGATGAACTCTTTGACTATCTGCAACTTTCAAATTCTTTGACTTTCAAAACTAATAGTCACAATATAAATGGCAGAGGGTTTAACACGCTTACTTTTGTTCCTACATAAAACTTGCTTAAGAAATTGTCTCTTGGGGTCAGCAGGTGGCGTGGTGGTTAAGGACGCTGGACTCCCACATAGCTAACCATGGTTTGAGTCTCAGAACCTGGTAGTTTGCTTTCTCACTTTCAATCTCTCTCCCTATTTCTCCTTCTCTTTCTCACTCCGTTCCTCTCTGGTCAAATTAGAATAAAGTGAAATAAAACAATTCAAAAAAAAAAAAAAAAAAGAAAGAAAGAAACTGTCTCTTTTCTAATGACATATTCAGCTCTTGCCATGTGAACTTAAATTTAAGAAAGACAAACGTTATTATCATCCTCTCCACCTTAATCAAAACTAAACCCCCAACCTCGGTTTCCACAGAACTTTAGGCTCAGAAAAGCCACCTAGATTCAGGATTAGGAGGTGGCATGATGATTAAGGCACATGGCCATCACGGTTGGAGTCCTGGACCGAGAAGCTTGAAAATCAAGGTGGGCATGTGTGCATGCGTGCCTAAAATCCTCAGAGAAGAATGGATGAGAAGGGATTGACCATGAAAATTCCCTCCTCCAGAAGGGAAGGGAGAAGGTGTGGCTATCCCATCTGGTGGGGGGGTGATTTCTCACTTTCCCTATGTCTCTCTGGCAAGCCCACATGCCTCATGGCAAAAAAAAAAAAAAAAAACATAAAAGAGACATAGATTCAAAAGTGTAATCAACATGGGGACCAGCAGTTGCTGTAATGGCTATGTCGCTGGACTCCCACGTAGTCAACCACAGTTCGAGTCCCGGACCTGGTGGCTTAAAAATCATGCCGGGCACTGTGCGTGCGTGCCCAAGATCCTGAGAGGAGAATGGAGGAGAAGGGACTGCGGCGTGGCCATCCCCCTGGGGGGTGATTCTTGCTTTCTGTCTCTCTGTCTCTCTCTGTCTGTCTGGCGAGCACATGCGCCCTATAGCAAAAACCTCTCCAAAAAGAAAAGGAAAAAAAAAAGTGTAATCAACATGCACAGACGTGGTTACTACAAGGAAAGCAAAAAAATGGGAACAAAGAATGGGACAAGAAAGATGCCAACAACTACTGAGTGGGGTTTCTGTTGTTCTGTTTTTAGAGGAAAGGGAAAGATCTGAAGGGTTTACACTTCCGATACAAGAATATTTGTTGTATTGTTCTCTGGACTTTCCTGTAGCACTTTGGGATTTTCAAAAGTAAAACAAACAAACAAAAAAACCTACTCTTGTTGGACCAGCTGATGGTGTGGTGTTCCTGGAAGTGGATCCCACATGGCCCAATATGCAGTTTGAGTCCCAGAGTTGGCAGCTTGAAAAAATGATAGGCTCATGTATATGGATACCCAAAATCTTGAGAGGAGAATGGAGGAGGCCATCCTCTCTGGGGAAGTGATTTCTCACTTTCCTTCTTTCTCTCTCTCTGTCTCTGTCTCTCTCTGGCAAGCACACAATGCTCTATAGCAGATTCAAAAAAAATAATAATAATAATACAAATACTCTTACTAGCATCATTGGAAACATCCTTATTTTCATTAAACTCTGATTACAAATGCTTTTCATTATCGCTCACTAGCATTTTCCAGGAAAGCTCATTTGCAGAATACATGATCTATAATCATATATACCTATGCTGGGACTTTACAAAGAAACACAAGTACCAGAATAAGAGAAATAAATTACTGATAGCAAAATGAAACTCTAAAATTAAGACCAAAGAGTCTTGAGTATCTGAAAAAGGAAAATAGCAGTTTTATATGCATTTCACAAAGAATGTAGAGGTTTTGATAAACTACCTGAATATTGCCAAATGAATGGACCTATACTCAGGGCTCTACTCTTCCAGCCTATCATATCAACTATCCACTCTACCAGTCATGAGGGAAGTAGACTCATACCCAAACCAAAACTAAGAAAGGAGGCCAGGAGGTGCCATGGTCTTTTTGTTTTTGTAAAGAATTAGTTAACTTTATTTATTATTATCATTATTATTTTCCAGTTTGATCAGAGAAAGGCAGATAGAGGAAGTGAGAAAGCAAGCTACCAGGTATGGGATTTGAACCACGGTTGGCCATGTGGAAGTCCAGTACCTTTAACCACTATGCCACCTGCCGGCCCCTCATTTTCCCTCTCTCCATCTCCCTCTTTCTTTCTCTGGCAAGCACATGAGCCCTATGGCAAAAACCTAAAAAAAAAAAATAGGAAAGAGGTCCAGCTGGTGACTGCATAGTGTAAGTACTGACCTAGCAGCTAGAAAAACATTGTGGGTACTAAACCTAGCTCAAAATTCAGAGAGGAGAATGGAGGAGAAGGAATTGCGACATGGCCATCCCCCCGGAGGGTGCTTTCTCACTCCCCCCGTTACCCCACAGCGAGACAGCGAGTACACACATCCTGTAGCAAAATTAAAAAAAAAAAAAACAACCTAAGGAACAATTAGTAAAACATTGAAGCCAAAACCTCAAACCCTAAAAATGCTTTCTCCTCTACAACTCGTAGTGTCCAGATCATGCACCATAAGTATAAAAATGAATAGCACAAATCTGAAATTTTTTTAGTACAAGTCAATGTCTGTCGCATGAGCAACTGCCATCAAGACTACCTACTCCCAGGAAGAAATACCCTACCTATACTTGTTCCTTCAACTCCCAGCTCCCAGTCACACCTACAACATACACAGAGAAATCTGTGTTACACCCTATTCACCCGCTTCTCCCCATCTTCTCTCCAGCCAACCAATCTTTACCTCTTTGCTTCTTCCAAATGACAAAGGTATTCATAAGCCACGTTCTGACGTCTCCTTTCATCCATCTCTTCTGCGGTGAGTCTCTCATTATCCAGGACAGCTAAAACATGAAAGAATATAAACATCAGGATCTGTAACCTTCCTGTGCGATACAAGAATGGCACAGCATCGAATTCCTGCCAGTCACCTAGAAGGTCAGGGTAACTGCCGGATGTGTGGATAGTCAGGTATAGGTAAATGACTTTCCTAAAAGAACAACCATGGGGTTTTAGCTATACTCATTCTACCCTTTTTACAGTGCATGAGAATATGAACATGTACAACAATAGATATTGGTGTAACCTTGAAAAAATACTGACTTGAGATTTCAGCCCCAATTTGTCCTTGTCTATCTGCCAGAATTTTGTAAATACAGATTTGAGCATGATGTTGACCTCTTTCATTAATAACCAAAGCCAGCAGTTATTGAGAACTAAGTGGCAGTCATTATGCTAAACATTTTACATGCATTCTCTCATTGAAGGCCCACAACAATCCTGTGATTATCGCTATTTTACGATTGAGGAAATTGAGGCTGGGTGAGCTCAGACTGAGTCTACAAGTGGCAGGGCCTGGATTCAAACCCAGACAGTGCGTCTCCAAAACCTGTGAGCTTAACCTTGAAGCAGTATGTCGCCTTAATAGGCATCCAGGGTATGGAATAAATTCATAACCCCTTAGGAATCCATTCAAGGCCCTTTCCAATCTGGTCCTGACTTTTGGAAAACTCTTCTTCCTCTCCCTGCTCTTCCACCACCGTGCCCTCTACACAGCTCAGTCCCCCCCACACAAGATGCCCCGCTATTCTTCAATACCTCAGTTCATGTCATCCCTCTTCAGCTCATGTCCCTTGCCCTGCCAAGGTTCTCTATACAGCACGGTGGCAAGGTTCTGCTCAAATGTCACCACCTTGTTCAAACTGCCCTCCCCAATCCCCTTCTCTTCGCCCCAGTTCGCTGCACCTTTCACTTTCTTGCAATTATCATTAGCCTGTACACCTGTCCCTCTGATTAAAAAGTTCTCTCAAGTCAGATTTCTGTCATTATCTTTAACTTTACAAACGTGGCACATCTTTACCTGTGGAAGAGTGGAATGATCCTTTTTTTTAAAGAACATTATTCGCGGACTATAAAATGAACTTGAAAACCTCAAGCTCTCAAAGGGCCGTCCTTTAGCTGTGGTAACTATCCCGTCTGCAATTCAATGATGTCCCAAGGACGGCCACAGAAAATGAGGAAGTAAGAGAGGTTTTTCTGTTTTTCTTTTTTTCTTTTTTTAATTTTACTTTTGAGGTCCTAACGAGGGAACTAAGCCGCAGACAGCTGAAGAGACTTGCCCAGGACCGCACCTCTGGGCTAGCCTGGGGCTGGGCAGTCTGGGTCCTGGGTGCACCTCGCGGGCAGCACTCGCGGCAGCACCTTCCCACGCAGCCCGAGCCGAGCCCCGGTCTCCGGTCTCCGGGACACGCCCTGCACCGTCCTCCTGCCACCTCACCCTAGGCCGTCTCCCCCAATCTCAGCCGAGCTGGGCGACGGGAGGCGCAGGGTGTGGTTCCTGCCGCCTCGGCGCCCGGAGTAAAGCCGGGAGGCCTCCGGGGTCTTCGGAGCCACCGCAGAGCCCTAGGAGCGCGGGCTGGCCGGGAACCTCGCCGCCCGCCGCCCCAGCTCTTCCGGGTCCGCGCGGCCCGCAGCCCC